TGGTGCAAGGCCTTTTTTAATGAGCATTGTAAGTCTGATGTGGTCGATAATAATATGTGTGAGACTTTTAATGCATGGATTTTGGGTGCAAGATGCAAGGCCATTATTTCAATGTTTAGGACTTTAACTGTCCAGCTCATAGAGAGATTTAAAGACAAAAAGTTGTTTGTTGATACATGAGCAACTAATATTGCACCTAGAGTTCTGAAGAAGACTAATGATAATAATAATCTGTCAATGAAATGCAATGTGAGGTGGAATGGTGACAATGACTTTGCTGTGTATGATGGGCATACACAGCATACACATGTGATCAATGTCCATGAAAGAAGTTGCTCATGTAGAGAATGGAACCTCATTGGAATTCCTTGCTCACATGCTCTTTGTGCATTAAGATTCAAAGATTGGAGTTTTGAGTACTTTGTTGATGAGTACTACAAAAAGGAAAAGTACCTTCAAACTTATGGAACAGCATTAGAATGCCTCAAAGGGAAAGAAGTGTTGGGGAGGAGGCCAGAAGGAGGATGTTTGCCACCGGAGATGAGATCAATGCCAAGGCGCCCTAGAAGGAATAGAAGAAAGGCAAAAGATAAGCCTATGAAACTGAAGAAGGGAAAATTGACCAAGTTATCGAAGCATGAATTTGTGTACACTTGTAGTGTGTGTGGTGAACAAGGGCACAACAAAGCTGGATGTCCATAGAAAGACAAAGAACAAGCAGGCCTTAGTCAAACCAAGGTAACTTTGCTATTGCACTTTATTTATGCAATGTTACACTTTATTAGACATGTTAACTTTATTTAATGGCAAGTCAAGAAAACAGGTAAAAAGAGTTCAAATCCCACACAAAAAACCAAAAGCAGCAAAAGAGAACACAAAGGTTGGTAAAAAAAGGTGATACCGTCTGTCTGGGAGGGGTAGAAAGAAGAACAAGAAAAGCAAAACGAAAGCTTAATAATAGTGTAAGAAAAAATAACCATATTCACTGTGTACAATTCCTTTTTTTTTTTTGTGTTTATAACTTTTTTTTTTATGTATAAGGTAATGAAATGTGCACCTTAATTTTTTCTTTTCAATTCATGGAGGTTGCTGGTATTGTCATCGATGAAGGTAGAGCGGAATCCAAAAAAAAAAATCCAAGTAGGTGCAAAACAAACAGGGTTCGAAAGGAAAGGGAAAGGATACGGCTTGAGAGAGCATGAAGGTTGGTTTCTGATGGCATGACTACTTTTTTGTTTATTGGCAGTGTATACAGTTACTGATTTGGCCTTTTATATTATACTCTTATTTATGTATGAAAAATGTATTTATGTGCTCGTGAACAAGCTTATTTTGGTATTATGCTTATGTGTTTCTGAACAACCTATTGGTGCTATGAAGTACAATGTTCTGTTGGTTCTTTTGTTTGCTACAAAATGTTTACCATCTGCTGTTATTTTACAATTTTTAGGTTATTGGAAACCTAAGTATTTATGTCTTGATTTAAAAATAGCTTTACAAATGTAGAAGAGCCCTTTTTCTATTACTGCATAACATATTCAAGTACATTATAATGGTTGATAGGCATGTTCTCAAAGCTTCCAAAATTTTGGTCATCACATGACCACAAAACACCAAAAGAAAGGCCATACATTTACGCTTGAAACACCACCTACCCACTTAAAACAACACCCAAAACATCAAATACACAACCATTAGAACAAAGACACCAAATACAATATGAACCATTAATATTTTAAGCTCAACACCAACAGAGGCTGCAATCAAGACATCAAATTTCCTTTCAATAATATCATTCACAGCATTTGCCACAGTTTTCTCAATAACTTCATCCAATTTTTGTATGGTGTCCTCATCTGTTGTAGAAATGGTGTGGCTTGACTCAACAATTGCACCTCCATTCACTCTGTTTCTTACTTGCCTTCTCAATACTGAATTTTCTATTGTGAGAGCCTTTTTCTCGATAATCAACAACTTTAGTAGCTCAATGGCTCTCTTATGGGACAATTCCAAGTCATGCCAAACAAAATACGGGCACTTTAAATCCTGTCATTAAACAATCTAAAAGTAGTAAATAAAAATTGGAAGAAAACTAAAAACAACATATGAGTAATATTACTTTGGCTTAAGGCAAAACCCCAAATTTACCTCATTCAAGAAGTGCCGGCAACCATAAAATCGTCTTCCAATGCTCCATGGTCTCCATGAAGTCCACCTTGGTGCCTTGAAGCCACACTCACAGTACATTTGAGGACCTTCATAGTTGTGCTCAACCAGCCCAACATCCCTCACAACTGTTCTCACCATTGCACCATCACTTGCATCAGCAGAGGCTCGACAAGGTCTAGTTCCAGAATTAGAGGAAGATTCCATGCGAATAACCTCACAAACACCCACAATCTTTTGCTCTCGACTAATTTCATGAAGGAATTGCAGAAATGAGAGAAAGCCTTGTGGTTTTGAAGAGAACCCTAACCCCCAACTCTAAAAACTCTGAACTAGGGCAAACAAGTTGGCCAACAAATATCAGTTAAAAATAGGATAAATAGTGGGAGCCACCAGCCATATTGTCAAACAAAGGGCGCACAAATGACACGGTATGTGAAAAGAGCGAGATTGGTACACATCAACATTCAGCGTGTAAAAAAATGACACGTTGCCACGGGCTAAACGGAGATCGTGATGGTGATGATGTCATCTGCTAAATAATGACCGATTTGGGTAAATCGATACTTTTGTGAGGTCATTTGTCCTTGTTTTTTTTTGGAAGGTGGATCCATCCCTACCCATATTTTTAAAGGGGTGATTTGAGGATTCTACCTTTTAAAATTGTGTTCTAAAGAGGTTAAAAAAACCCTTTAAACTAATTAGTTAAATGACACATCTTCAATTTTTTTTTATCCAAATAAAAACTCTTCTCCTCTCTTATTGCCTTCTTTCAAACCAATCAAGTTCATATAATTAATTAAATACTAATTATTATTTAATGAATTTTTTAACATATACTATAAAGATATAGGTTGAAAATGTATTTATTATATTTTTTATTATTAATTTATATAAAAAAATATAGTAAATAAATTCTTCACCTGACCCTTAATACATATATTAGAAAACTCCTTAATTAACCAAATTATAAGGGATTTTTCAACCAAGGCAATATTAATTTTATTATAAATATATATAATATGAAAATATATATTAATTTTAATATTAATACTAAATAAATTCATTTAATTAAAAATTAAAAATTAATATTTTTTAATATAAATTTATAAAAAAAATATATTTAATACACCCTTCAAAAACAATTCAGATAACTCTTAATACTTAAGTGTAACACGGAAGGTGTGACACTTGTGAAAGCAAAAGCTGGAACCTGGAAGACAAATGACTCCAGTTCACCAGCTAGTTGTCAATCAGATGCTGCCAAAGAAAATTCTGACCTCAATTTTAGGGCCAAGTTATTGGTTTTTCAAGGTTATCAATTTTAAACTATAATTTTATCAATTTTTAATTTTTAATTTTTATTATAATTTTATTAATTTATTATTATTTTTTAAACAATTAATTATAATATAAAAAATATTATGTAATTTAAATTATATAATATTAATGATCTTTATTTTATAATTCAATATAATTTAAATTGTAAAATAAGATTCTTTGTTTAAAAAATTCTATATATAAATTGATTTTAATGTATTAAATAATAAATATAAATTATTTGATTAATTATTAATTATTTTTAACAATCAAATGAAGATAAAAGTTTAATAATTTTAATGGCAATGACCATAACCATAGCACAATTTTAGTATAATTACCATCATGAAATTAATAAAAATGATAAATAAGTAAAGAATTAGATAAACAACAGTTTAGCCAAAATAATACTACTGTTTAGTACTACTTATTTTAAAAGCTTTGATTTATTTTATCAGGTTAGTGTAATATATATCTTCCTTAAAAAAATTTTTTTGAAATACCAATCAAAATTTTATTTTTTAATTAATATTTTAAAAATTAACCGTTAAATTAAAAATTTTATTTACTAACATATATTTAATAGTTTAATATTTTATATAATTAACAAACTGATTAGACTTACTAAATCAATTTAAAAATTAACATACTTAATTTATATAAATAAAATTATTAATACACTAGTCTCATTTTTAAAAATATTAATTAAAATATAAATTTTTAAGCAAATCCTAAAAAAAATTTTAGGTGAATGCAAAACTTTATTCTCTTTTTTATATAGGAAAAATAATTTGTTAAAGAATTTGACCTTAATAAAAAATTATTAGGGGTGCAGTTAATTCCTGGGGCAATATCAGATTGTTACACATATAAATAGCCAGTACGGTAATCTCGTAACCAGAGCACTACAGTTTCTTCCTCTCACACAGGATTTTGAAGAAAACAGGTCAGTTTTCTGTCCTCTGTTTTTTCATTTTAGAGTTTGCTTCAGGTTAGTGCTTGTTTTTATATATGAAGCATTATTAGAAGTAACCTGATACAATAATTTAGTGGTTTTTGCAGCCATGGGAAGAGAACAAATGGGAGTGCTTAATGCTATTGATGTCGCCAAGACTCAGTGGTACCATTTCACAGCAATTGTGATTACTGGAATGGGATTCTTCACCGATGCATATGATCTTTTCAGCATCTCCCTAGTCACCAAGTTGCTTGGCCGTATATATTACTATACTGAAGGGCAAGTAAAGCCAAGCACACTACCTATAAATGTCCTAGCTGCGGTCAATGGTGTTGCACTATGCGGCACTCTAGCGGGGCAACTCTTCTTTGGCTGGCTTGGAGACAAGATGGGACGCAAAACAGTCTATGGACTTACTCTGTTACTCATGGTCCTTTGCTCTATTGGCTCCGGACTCTCATTTGGAAGGGACGCAAAGAATGTTATGACAACTCTTTGCTTCTTCAGATTCTGGCTTGGTTTTGGTATTGGTGGCGACCATCCACTTTCAGCTACCATCATGTCTGAATATGCAAACAAACGGACTCGTGGCGCGTTTGATGCCGCAGTTTTTTGCAATGCAAGGATTTGGGATTTTAGCCGCCGGAATTGTGTCTCTTGTTGTGTCTGCTGCATTTAATTCTGCATTCCCAGCACCCACTTTCAAAGTCAATACCAAACTTTCAACTGTGCCTGAAGCAGACTATGTCTGGCGTATAATTGTAATGTTTGGTGCCAACCCTGCTTCCCTTACTTACTACTGGCGAATGAAGATGCCTGAAACTGCTAGGTACACTGCCCTGGTCGCAAAGAACTTGAAACAGGCTGATGCAGACATGTCAAAGGTTTTGCATGTGGATCTTGAAGTAGAGCAGGGAAAAGGGGCCAACATTGCTAACACTGATAAGGGAAATTCATTTGGCTTGTTCTCCACGGAATTTATTCAGCGTCATGGGCTTCACTTGAGTGGAACGACCACAACTTGGTTCCTCTTGGACATTGCTTATTACAGTCAAAATCTTTATCAAAAGGACATCTTCCAGTAATTCAGTGGATTCCTCCAGCAAATAGCATGAATGGGATTTATGAGGTTTACAGGACTGCAAAGGCACAAACAATGATAGCCTTTTGCGGTCTTGTTCCTGGATATTGGTTTACAGTTGCTTTGATTGATAGAATAGGGAGGTTTAAAATTCAATTGATGGGTTTCTTCTTCATGACAGTCTTCATGTTTGCTTCGCCATTCCTTACCAGCACTGGAAGTTGCACAATCCTATGGGGTTTCTAGGAATGTACTCTCTGACGTTTTTCTTCGAGAATTTTGGACCCAATTCCACAACATTTATTGTCCCAGCAGAGATCTTCCCTGCGAGGCTAAGGTCAACATGCCATGGGATATCAGCTGCAGCTGGGAAGGCAGGTGCCATAGTTGGTGCATTTGGGTTCTTATATGCTTCTCAGGACCCCCAACAGTCACTAAGAGATAATCCTATGCACCCAAAAGGCCTAGGAATGCAGCGTGCACTTCTTTTGCTCGGTTGTGTCAACGCCCTCGGAATGTTGTTCACAATCTTGGTGCCTGAACCAAAAGGAAAATCACTTGAGGAGCTGTCTGGCGAGAGTGAGGCTGAAAATGGTGCAATGGAAATGCACGACCGTCCAGCTCCTCCTGAGACCTATCCTATATTCCTATTGCATCCCCACAAGTTTAGTTCACTCATATTTTGTTAGATCGAAAAATCATTTCTTCCTCGGTCATCAAAATATAAAACTAAGGTGCATTAAATAAAAATCATAGCAAATCAGTAATGAATATTTCTTACTCTTTTCACTTTCAGTTTCTTCTAAAGATCAGTTGGAAGAAAGGAAGGAATAGGCATTTCTGATTGCTATGATCTCTATCTTTATCTTTCCCCTACTTTGTAGTTGCCTTTGGGTTCTAAACTTATATATGTGTTTCAGTATAAACAGGCCCGATAAGAATTAAAAGTGGCCTTTGTTTATGGGCCAACAACAAAATCTATGTTTTGATATTATGTGGGCTAATTAAAGGGTCATAAATGGAAGAAATAATATATACAAGAAAAGTCAAAATTAAGAGTCATGATGTTTTAAATATTAAATTTTTTATAAATGGTTTAAATTCTTTTCTTTTCATTTAATAATTTTTTTAATATTTTAATTATTAAGATGACTTTGCCTTCCTCAATTGCTAGACAGCCATATAAAAGAAGCCAGCTTGTGCTTGTTTTAGCTGTGGCTGACCATTCAGGGGGTAAGGGGCCATTTTAGAAATGTCAACTGTCTGACTCCATAGGCCCAGCCCCAGTTTTATATTCCTACTATTGCTGTCATTAATTTCGGTCCCACCAAGCAAGTTTGTTTTCATAATGTGTAAGCCCAAAATATTGCCTACTATTCCTCTAGATCCCTGCATTGCATATTTTTTTAATGAAATTATTTGTTGGCAACAAAACCTGACAAAAGTTATTTTAGCAAGCAAATAAATGTATATCAATTCATAGCATTC